TCTCTCAGCCCTCTTCCAGGGCTGGGGTTTAAACCCTAAGGCTGTGTCCACACTGCACCCCTTTTCCTCTTAAAATCAGGAATAAGGGACCTTTCGGAAAAGGCTTTATTTTCCGAAAGATCCCCGTCTAGACTGGCGCTTTTTTCCAGCAAAACCCCGAGCCGGAAAAAAGCGGCAGCCACGTTTATACAAATGAAGAAGTGAAAATGAAGACGCGATTTTGTGCAAGAAAACCCCGATCGCCATTTTAGCCATCGGGGCTTTTTTGTGCAAAACAGTTCTTCCCGTCTACACTGGCCCTCTTGCGCAACTATTCTTGCACAAGAGGGCTTTTTCCCGAGCGGGAGCGTGAAAGTATTTGCGCAAGAAGCACTGATTTTGTACATTACAAAGTCAGTGCTCTTGCGCAAATTCAAGCAGCCAGTATAGACAGCTGGCAAAATCTTGCCAGTCTAGACACACCCTAAGGGGCCCGTGCGGGGCAGACGCCCATCATAGGCATACAGAGCTTGCTCATGGTAGAAACCTCTAATTCCTCGTGGAAGCAGAGATTGTAACTCGCTTGTGTTTCTAGGTTACCTGCTTTAACCAAGTAAATAACTCGCTGGTTTCCGGTTCCTACTGAATACATCTTTAGCTAGTTTATTATAGGATTGGCGTGAGCGCCAAGGTACCGTTTGCCTGGGAAAATGCCCAGCCCTTTGGTCCTGGCAGGAGGCGAATATTGCTGTGGTTGGTGGAGTAAGGAGCCAGCCCTCCCAAGTACGAGCCAGTGGCATAGGCAGACCATGCCATCTGGGTGGGCCCCGATTTACAGTGGGAGGGGACAGTGACAGGAGGGTGGGATGGTAGGAACCTTCGGGGCACCTCTCCTTCCCCTGCGGGTGGTAGATGCTCTGGACAGGAGCCCTGGAAAATAGAGGAGGAGGGGCTGAAGAGATGTGCACCCCCATCTGCCCCGCCTGGCACTCCAGCTGAGGAGTGGGGTCAAAGACTTGTCCTGGGGAGCAGGAGGGATGGGGGCTTGCCCTGCAGCAGTGCTCCAGCTGGATGGTGGGGGTCAGGGGCTCACAAGCCCCCATGTGTCAATCCCAGTCCGCAGGAAGAGCGCCACGTGGACAGAGCGAGGTAAGGCCTGGGCCCTGTCCTCGCCTGGAGAGCCGGAGTGGGGCAAGCGCCCCGCTGTGCCCGCTGTGGCCATGACGTTCAGCTCGGCTGCTCTGCGGGTGCACAGCAAAAGCCCTGGCTACGCGTGTGGCCAGCGTGGCAAGCAGGCAGCACCGAGCAGCACACCTGGCCGGGAGTGCCCAGGCTCCCCGACGAGCACCAGCGTGGAGCAAGCAGGAGGTCTCGGGCCCCAGTGCTGCCTGGGGAGAGGACTCGGTTCTCGCAGACTACGAAGCAGCACGAGAAACGCAGCTCTCTGACGTGGAATCCTGCTACCAGCGGGTGAGGGCGATTGGTGTGATCCGTGGCGGGCTGCGCAGCGGGGGCTCCCGGGACAGCTTGTCACCATGTCTGCAGATGGCGCGGGAATCTTCCCTGCACAGCCCGTCACGCTCTCCGAGGAACTCGGTCACACTTCCCACAAGGTTGCTGGGGAGGCGGCCTGATGCCCTCCTCCACGGTAGGCCGCCTTCCCGCGGTGAGCCAGCCACGAGGCCCCTGGCATCAGCGCAGCGCAAAGCATCAGTGTCAGAGCCAGGGCTCCGGCCACCTTCAGTCGGCATCGGCTCTGTGAGTCGAAGGAAATGGGCATCGTGCAGGGCGACCCGGCTGAAGCGGGGGGAGCGACCGTGTCTGATACACCCGCAGGACACGGGTGGCTCATTCCCGACAGGGCGCCGATTGGGACCCTGCCTCGCTGCAACACCCAGACCAGCTTCCCCTCCCGCCTGCAGGTTCCCGTGGCAGGGGAAAGTTGCACTCTTCCAGCGAACGGGGTTGCCAGACACGTGGTCCTGCCCTGCTGCCACCGTGCCCCCGTTGCAGACGCTGACACTTGTCTAGCTGAGCAGCTGCTATTTGCATGCACTGTGTGGTGCATCCCTTCACAGCAGAAGCAAAAGAGGGATCCCCGACCTGTCCCTGCCACCAAACTACGTCTGGCTGTTCCCAGGTCTCTGTGCTCTACCGGCTGCACAGGGGGCCCTTGAAAGCATAACCTTGTTCAAGCCTGTTGTCTTGGACAGATGTCCCTGTATGTTACGAGATCGGGTTTTCTGCTCCCCAAGGTATCTCCTGTAGCGCCTGCCCTTCACTTTTCCTTGCAGCAGGTGCAACAGAGAGCCCGCGGCACAATCCGCCGCGTCCGGCTCCTCCAGCTGTTTGGCCGTCACCCATCGGCAAGCGAAAGCGTACTCGCCATGACAATCAATGAGCAAAGGCGATCCGTCCCTCTGGACATGGCGCCATTCAGAGAGTGGAGGAAAACGCTGCTGCAGGCGATGTGAGCGGGGTGTGGGGAGAGAAAAGTGACCAGGAATTGCAAAGTAAAGACACAGGAGAATGTCTCGACGGTCCCGGGGGCGGGGGGCAGGGGAGAGTCAAGGGCAGTCTCACACTCAACCCCAGGGATGTGTCCCAGAACAAAAGGCTGTCACTCTCACACCTGTGCGATTGCTGAACGGGGGCGTAATGAGCCGCTTTCTCTTCTCCCCTCGCCCCCGAAGCTCCTGCCCTGAGCGTCTTTTCTGTCCCTGCTTCCTTGTGTCCCTAAATAAAAACTCAGGCTCTCGACCACCTGGCCTTTACTGCTCATGTTGCATGGGGAGGCGGGTGTGACTGCGCGTCGGGATTTTCCCATCTCCTGCACCCCCGAAATGGCATGAACAGACTCCACCAGGCAGTAGAATGGAGGTTGTTTATTGCCCCTCCAGGATGTAGCGCAGCACAGATGTAATCTGGTTACAGGAACTGGGGGCTAAGAGGCCTCAGTGCTCCCCTTGAAATAGTCCCAGCCCCCTCCCCAGCTCCTTCTCCCCTGCTTTCCAGCCAGGAACCAACTCCCCCTCTCCAAGCCCTGCCCCCAGCCAGGGCAGCATTCCACCTTCCTTAGTTTCTCCCCATGGGGGGTGGCTGGTTCAACAGGTTTGGAGTCACCTTTGCATAATGAGGTTTTCCCTGCTGGGTCTTGCTCCAGACAGCAGAGGTCACCACAGCCCAGCAAGTGCCCCCACTACGTCACAGGGGGTTCCAGGCAAGCACACTTATGGCAGGGTGCACTGCAATGAGGGGCAGGATGCATGGGGGTCAGATCGCTGTCTGGCCATTCTCAGATTAGCGCTGCCCCTCGATGTGCTCTGTATTGCCGTGTCTGCTCACAATGAGTGGCTAAGCGCTGTGCCTCGGCCACCCGCCCTGGGCCTGCGTGTCACAGACGTTATGGCGCACGCAGCAGGCTGCCACAACAATGGGAACAATCAGCAGACAGCGAAACCTTCCCTTGAATCCCCCAGCAGCCTGCTCTACCACCATGCGGTTCTGCCACTGACCGGCCCCTTGCCTGTGTACGGCTCCGTGAGCTGCGGGAGCAAGGGGCGGGCTGGCTCTCACTATTGGCCTCTCCACACCTCCCATGGGCTTTTTCTGGTTGGGGAAGGAAGTTCCATCATGCACCGTTCCCAGCCTCCTGGGGTCAGCAACGTGGCTGCTGTGGCCCCCCAGCTTCTGCCACACGCTGGAGAAGTCCCACTGGAGCTGTACATGTGCTGGCGGGTGCCAAGGTACTGAGGTGTGTGCCATGTATCACCCCCCCAGCGAGGGAACCCCATTGCGGCACAGCCCCCCGCTATGTCCTGCACATTCCCCAGAGGGAGCGCCTTGGCTACCTGCATCACAGCAACCCCCCCGGCTCCCACCCCATAGATTGCCCCACTGTGGGCTGATTCCAACTGACCGGTAGCGGTCCAGTGCTGCGTGCTTCCACAGTGCGTTACGGGACGCTGATGACGTGCACCCCGAACCAGCCGCTGCACGGTTTGGGTCCTATTGGGCACTGGGAAGGCGAAGGGCAGTAGGAATGATGGGATAGCTACCCACTGTGCATCGCTGTTGCGGCTGATGGCAGCACCCCCAGAGGTCACACTTCTGCAGTCCGGGGGAAGTGAGGGAGGGTGGGGGAGAGCAAGCGATGGAGGTAGGGGCAGGAGGGAGCAGGATGGGCCTGGCAGAAGAGGGCGGGTCTAGGCTGTTTGGGTTTGTGTGATTCGACCATTGGCAGCACTGCCCTCCAGGCAGAGCGACTGATCGGGGGAGAAAGGTGCCTCCCCCCCACCCTGAGTTGCTTCCCTCTCGGCTGCCACACACGGCATTGTGCACATATAGCACGAGACGCTCCAGCCCCTGAGCCAAACAGTCCATGGGCTCCAGCTGGGGATAGGCCCGGCCTGGGGGGCAGGAGGCTGGCCGGGGGAGCTGAGGACCCACGTTCTCTCTCACGTGGAGCTGGGGGTGGTTCCCAGAGGGCCCACGTTCTCTCACACGTGGAGCTGGGGGTGGTTCCCAGCTCTCTCACATGCGCACGCCAGCTCTGGGGTGCTGGACGTGCAGCGCAGCCGGAGCCCGGTAGGGGTGAGGCCCCGGTTAGGGCCGTGGCTGTGTCCCCGGGTCAGCGTGCCCATGTCACCCCTCACCACAGCCCCACCACGGTCCTTGTCTCACGAGCTGGGTGAGGCCTGTCCAACGAGCCGGCATCGCCCCTCGAGCACCAAGTGTGGACGGAGCCGGTGGATTTGAGCTGCCGATCACCAGCCCACCCCAGGGGGCATTTACATGCTCTGGTGCTGGGCAGAGCATGGCCAGGGGCAGGCCCCACTGAGCTGCTCCACGTGTGTGTGCTGCAGCCTCCCGCTCCGGGATCCCATCCCGCACGGCCTGGGCGTTTGCTGCCCACGAACAACTTTTTGCTCCCCGCCTTCCAAGGGGATTTCTCAACAGCCGGCCCTGCCCAGAGGGGAGGGGCCTGCCCCTGGGGGCCAGGAGACGGGTTCTGTGGAGAAACGGGTCAGGAGGAGATTAGGTCCCTGTTGTTGAGCTGTGAGCCAGCCCCACCCTCCCCCACCTGGGCAGGGTATAAATCCCAGCCCGGCTCAGCGCTGGGCAGAGACCTGGCTCCTGGCAGCAGCATGAAGTCAGGGACCATCTTCCTCCTCCTGGGGCTCCTGGCCCTCTGGGCCGAGCTGCCACCTGCGGCTGGACGTGAGTGGAGAGCGCGGGGTCAGCAGAGAGGAGCCACCGGCCCGCCCAGCCCAGGGCACCACTGCAGCTGCCTCCCCTGCCCTGCTCTGTTCTGTGGGGTGGGGGAACCGCCAGCCCAGGGTGCCGCAGCAGCGCCCTCCCCTGCCCTGCTCTGTTCTGTGGGGTGGGAGAGCCGCCCTGGGGAGCAGGGGGCCTCCTGGCCGGGGCCCGGCTAGTGCAGGTGGGAGGAGAGGGGGCCAGGCAGGGCTCTCCCCACTAGACACGCGGGTGGACTCTGGGCACCGGGTCTCTCCCTGCGGAGCAGGACGCCAGGCGGGCAGAGGCCTGTCCTAGGCAGAAGCTGTGCAGCTGGGGGGGACGGAGCCAGGGCTGGGTTAGGACACTGGACTGACGGCCTCGTGCCTGCTCTGCATTGCAGGGAGACCTGGGGTCTGTCCCTCGGTCAAAGGGGTTGTGGGGATCTGTGTGGAACTGTGCAACGGAGACGAGTCCTGTCCTCCAGGGCAAAAGTGCTGCAGTAACGGGTGTGGCCATGTGTGCAGAGGAGTGATAACCAGAGGTGAGACCCGGATCCCTGGGCAAGACCCAGCCCCAGGACAGGCACCAGGCCCCAGGCCCCAGCCGTGACCCCACAGAGGGGCCAGCG